TGTCATTGGGAGGGGTGCTGTCTGTGATGCGAATAGGTCTGCGGACTACAGCAACTTAAAAGGCTCGCAAAGTAGGTGACCTAACGTCGGTGTAGGCTCCGGGGTATTTAGCCGTTTCCCAGGTCGGCCGAGAATGAATGAAATGTTCAACCACGACCAGTACTAGCAAGTTTATCGCGCACTCCGAATGCGCCTTCCTTCGACAATGACAGTTATGCAGTCCAACATAGTAGTTCCCAAACGTGGAAGTTTATCGCGCAGTTATCCCGATGGAGCGATTCCGCACGAAGAATGCTATGGCCCGGGGTCCTTGGGCACCGGAACTCCGAAGCTAGGTCGTCACGGGTGTGAATGGATATGGGAACGGCGGCATGCCTCATCCATAGAATCCCCCGAAATACGGCCATATCTCCACTCTCTTTGCTCGAAGTAGGCATGTATTCCTCTTGACCCGATCTTTCCATCGTATCTTGACAGTCTTTCTTCCCGTGCTTCCTACAATCCACGGGGCCATTGGCACTAGCTGGCTTCATCGTTTCCGACTGGAGAAAGGACAATTGGTCTGGACCGTATAGTCCGGTCAAGAGTCCCAGCCTGCTCCTATAGCCCCAAATTCTCTCTCCCTCCTCTTACAAACCACCCCCCTCATATCTGATCATTCCGTCATGGTGTCGATACTGGCACGTGCGTCCGAGTCCTGTGCGGTGTTCACATGGTGTGCGTCGTATTGCCCGATGGCATAGTGCTGTCCGTATACGTCCTTGTCCACTGTCGTCGACTGCAGTATCCGTCGGAGTGTGCTGAACTGGCAAAAGGAAAAAGGTGCGAAACGAAATTGGTAGTGTGGAGTGGGGCAGACATGGTGTGAAGTGTTTAGCGAGGTACGTAGTGCTCACGACATGCTTCCAGCCAATTAGAGCTAGAGGCTTGGGAGGGCATCCTTGTCTTCTCGACAGCGCAATCATTCACATCGTGGAACCAGGGTTGTATGAAGATTGTATGAAGACTTGTATACGAAAAGCTGGAGCTTGGGTATTGTTGTGTATCTTGAGCCGTTTTTCGGCAATGTATGCGCCTCTAACGCCGACGGTGCCTGAAATGCCCTCTTTGGTGCATGCTGAGTGCCGACTCGCCGCATGTGTCTAAAACAATCTCCACCAGATGAAGACGATGATTATGAAGGCTAGTCCGCCGATGGGTCCGTACTGCGCATCGTTAGCATCCAAGTTTATGACCATGACGTGCGTCTGCCCGTTACTCACCTGTTTCAACAGCAACTCCCAGTTGATGCGCACGGCAGCCTTCTTGTACTTCCTACTGTCCTCCCTTAACCGGCTCGAGATATCGCCCATCCTCTCCAGACTGTCTCCTCGATACAGCAGATCCTCAATGTTCTTGGTCATGACCTTGGTAACATCCTTCAGCTCATCGTTCAGCTTGTCCAAATTCTGTGTCGCCCTCGAATCTTGGTATGTCTTCTTTGTGCTCTGAATGAACTGGTCGAATCCGACGAACTCGTACGGTCGGCATGTGGGCGAGAGGTACTGTTGCGGTTGGTATGTAGTGGTGAATTCGCGTTGGAGGTCTGAGAGGTATGTGAAAGCGAGTTTGCGCGGGTAGGAACGGTCGCATATGCAGAGGAAGCAGAGGTCGCCCTCGATTATGTAGCTGGTGGTTGCGTTAGCATGTGATCAGGGAAGCTTCTCTGCACGTAAAGGCAGGGGCAACGCGCATACTGGAATGTGTAGTTTCCGCTCTCTATACTCGCTTGTTGTTCGGCGTTACGGTTTAGGCGTCGCTGTAACATCTTTACTTTGTTCGTGGCCTCGTTGAACTCGGCATCGTTCTGGGAAATGTGAGTCTCATGTTCAGGCTACGTGAACAGCTCGAGAGGCGTCGTTACCTGGTTATTGTCCACCGAGGCTACCAAATGAAGGCCTAAACATGTATCAGCACGTGTGCAGCCTTCAATATTGCTGAGTTACTGACCATCGAGCCGCGATATCATGGTGTGTTTGATCATGGTGGCGGTTGAGGGTTCGGAGAATTACAGCTGGTGAACGTACAGCGTCGCCAAATATTATGTCGAGCGCAAAGTTAGGCCCGAGGGTGAGTAGTCGCGTGGTAGGGGATACGTGTCGGGCTGATGATACCAGATCGCAAAGATGACGATGCGGAAAGGTCGCGCGGGAAAGCGCACGGACGCGCCAACGGCCATCACAGAACAACCAGCATGCCGTGACCCTTCAATGCACTATCACTCATGGCTCTACAGACGCGTTCATTCAAATCCCGAGACCAGAGAGACTGACTGAAGTAATACCGGTATCCTTGTGACAGTACATCTGGTACAACCTCAACTCAGCGCCCCAGCCACCATGCGGAGCCGAGCTTCTATCCTCGCGTACCCTTTCAACACCTTCACTCTATGCATCGAGTGGCGGACACGCTTTCAACCCTGATTTAAGTCGCTCGACGCGCAGGCTTCCCGGTGGAACGCGACCTTGGTCATTGGTAGATCAGCCTTGCGGAACGCGATAGCTACTGCCTCCAACGCAAACGACACCCACCGGCATTTTGCCAGCTGCCGTCCATCTCAGCCCACCCAGGTAGTCGCCTGCACTTACGACGTCTTTTAAGAAACACCTGCTCAAGTTCACATCAAACTCTTGCATTCAGTCCGAACGACAAAATGTCGTTACCAGTAAGGTGCGTTCCCATTCTTCACTACTGCATGTACCGTGCCGCGTCTTCACGACTTGCCTGCCAAGCGCGTGACTATCATTGTGCAACTGCTCAATACAACCTCCACATTCACTTCATGCATCGCCGTCTTCTTTTCACACGTGACTGTCGCTTGGTCCATTAGCCTATTGTTCACCTATTGTTCACCTATATCCACTGCCCGACAATAGAAAGCTCAACGCGCATTGACAACCTATATGTCGTCTCTCTCAGCTTCGATTGACAATCATAGACCTTCGTCCGCCACCCGACTCACCTCTCCACACGACTATCAACCGACACCTGTTCCGCCCGCACCAAAATCAGAGCAAACCACCGCACCACCTCCAACAACACCAAACAAACGAGCCAAGATGCACCACTCTGACCCAGGCTCATCACCTCTATCTTCGCCGCCCTCTTCTCCATCTGAGCAGGTCTCACCCATCCCCTCAAGCCTGCCGAGCCAAGTCCCAAATTCTGCCATCTCAACAACAGAAAACGACTCGTCCATCATGCCATCGATCGAGTCTCCATCCTTACCTCAGCAGGCGCTGGCGCCTGCATCTACTACTATGCCGACATCCAACATGGGCGCTAAACGCGCATCTAAGCAGAGCCCGAAGAGATCTCACGAAGAAGTCGATGATGACGACGAAGAGCCCGCCTTCGGTACACCGCCTCCCAAACGCGCAGCCAGGAGCACAAGCTTAGCAACAAAAGCCAAGACTACGAAAAAGAAGACGCCTGCTCCAAAGAAGCCTGCACCCAAAAAGCCAGCCCCGAAGAAAGCAGCAGCCAAAGAACCCGCTCCTGCAGCAACACCCAGCTCACGCCCCTCGCGCAACCGCAAAGCACCAGAGCGGTTCGAGGAGTTTGAGGAAAAGCCCACTCCCAAAGCTGTCCCGACCAAGAAGGGACCAAGCAAAGTTTTCGATCCCGTCTACATCACCACCAACTCCTCCAGCCGCCTAGTCAAAGCCGACATCTACGTAAGTCTTCGTCGCCATCTCCTCACTATCCACACATCAAAGAGCTCACACATCGCAGCACATGCTTCTTGAAGGACCAGCCTGGACCAACCTCAGCGCAGAGCAGCAAACTACACTCATCTCCATGCTTCCCGAGAACACCACGCACCAAGCTCTCCTCGCTAAGATCAGCGCCGGCAACACAGAAGACACACGGCCGTCAGCCTTCACGCTAGCAAACAATTGTTTCCGCACCGATGTCGCCAAGTTCCAGGAAGATCTCAAAAACGGGCACTTGGCCAAGACGTGGCAGGCGGCTGCTGAGCAGGCTGTGATTGAACGTGCGGCGGGAGAGTACGATGAGTGGAAAGCGGCGGAGGCGGAGTCGTGGTGGGGGCAGAAGAGCAAGTGAGGTCTTTGATGGCAAGTGTTGAGCTTATGATGATGGCTCAGACGGATGTTCTGGTGCGCGCGCCTCGTGCGGCGTCGAACGGGGCTCTGAAGTGCGGGTTTGGGGGAACTTGGTGGGCAACCCTGAGGTTCAGTTGCGACATCTAGTACGTATCTTCCTTCCCTGAAATCATTTCTGCAAAAGGCACATGTAAAAGCAACATCTTTCCAATACTCCGTGTGTCTTCTCGAATCCAGCTATGACAGTCTTCTTATCTCTTTGTTCCTTTGTTTGGCTCCCGACCGCATCAGTGAAAGACCAAGCCTTCCCACAACGTGACTTTTCCGTTACGTCAGCCACACTATTGCGACTTAGCGAGTGTAAACAAGAGATTTTCTGTTTTCTTGCATTCATTGAGTCGCGGTCTTGTTTACCCCTCTACCTTTGGATATTCTCAGCCACTGCGACGACACCGCGACGACACCACGACGACACCACAACGCGCACTCCCGCATCTGCCAGCTACAACCGTGAGATCGAAGACGTTGGAGTTCAGAGAAACAGCCCAAAGGAACTACACCGCAACCGGACAAGCGAACACTTGCGCGACAAGGTCTCTACCGCAGTCACGCTATCAGCGTAAGTCCAAACCCCGCCTCATCATCCCACCCACACGATCACTAATATACCCTTCAGCACTGTGACAAGTGGTGAAGATATTCCTGTCCACTACCCCTTTACATACTGCGCCAGAGACATCCGGAATACTGCAAGGCGACAGTACCAACTTCGCGACCGTCGCCAGGACCGCGGCCGCCACCGTCGCAGTGACTGCGACTAATACCATCAAGACGACCGCAAACACAACATCAAAAGCCACCGCTTCCGCCGCCTCCAATAACACAACCGCAAAGATGGACGCTGTCATCTCACCAACTCTGTTCAAGATCGTAAGCGCCGGCTACACTATCATGGACAAGGCCAATTCCGCTCTTGAATATCGCGCCCTCGAATATGCGTTGTATTCCGCCATGACTGTTCGAGGCACTGTAAGTGTGATGAGGATCTGGAAAGGCGCAAGGACTCCACCAGGAGTCGACCGGTACACATGGAAGGCTATCACTTGGCGCGTTCATAATTGGCTCCAGATTAACCTCAAGACTAATGCTGGTCTGCGGAAAGAGCTGGAAGATGCCAGGAAGCAGCAGAAGGAGTACGAGATGAAGGAGAAGGCGAGATCTGATCAAGCGCGTCGGACTACACAGGTCGACGAGGTTCCAGACTTTGCGACACCTGCACGCGAAGAGCCTACACAAACATCAGAAGTGGTCCGCAAGTTACAGGAGGCACTCAAGGACACGACCGACCGGCTGAGAGTCAGCAATGCTCGGGTGAAAGAGCTCCAGCAGTCTACAAGCAAGCCTGCGCACCCGAGTCGAATGTCCACCTCGTCTCACAACTCATCGACTCCAAAGCGAGATGCACTGGAGGATATGGGGCATCAACTTCGGGCGGCGCGGCAGGAGGCTGTAGACGCCAAGATGGAAGCTGCTTCCAAGGACGAGCAGCTACGGCTGGTGCGAGAAGAGGCCGATGGGGCTAAAGCTAAATTCGCTTCGCTACTGGCTTCTCATGGTCAAGAGCCTAAGGCAGTACCGGAAGAGATTGAGGCAGTCAGATCTCAAATGGCTTCCCTGGAGGCCGAGCTGGAAGCTGCGCGACAAGAAACGCAGTCGGCTAACGCGGATCTCCTCTCAGTCAAGGAGCAATTGGGTTGTGCGAACGAAGCCATCAAGGTCGCTGGATCTGGCTTGGCCCAAGTGCGAGAACTCGTGGGAAAAGTCCAAGAAGAGAAGGAAGAGGCTGAGGCAAACGCCGCATCTCTTACGATGCAGTTGCAAGCGTCCCGAGAAGAAGAAGAAAAGGGCAGGGCCGATGCAGCTTCGATGGAGAGAGACTTCCACGAGGTGCGACTACGACATAGCAAGGAAGTCACCGCGCTTAAAGAGCAGGTCAAGGAGTGGGAAGGCATTGCTGCGGAGGCGAAGCAGATCAACGATCATGTGCAGACCGCGCTTAATGAAGAGAACGAGGAGCTCAAAGAGCAGCTTAAGAAAGAGACTGCTCATCGCGAGACACTGGAGATGGAAGTGAAGAAGCTGAAGTCAGAGACCGACGGTGCGAAAGCCACAGAGATGGCTGCACCCGCAGCGAAGTCGCTCACTCCATCTGAGACGCAGAAGCCATCGAGCGCGATCTCTTCCAACCATCTTGTCAATAACCAGCCACGTCTTGTCTCCGTCGCCGGTCTCACAAGCCCATCTACACCCATCCCTACCGCATTACCAGGCCCTACAACCACTCCCACAGAAACCTCGACGCCAAGGTCAGGATACACACCTGATCACAAAACTCTCATCCAAGACTGGAACACCAGAGAAATCGAGCTCCCGATATATCTAGAAAGGTTGAATGCACTAAAGCGAAAGTCTGACGACGCGGGAGAGACACCCAGACCGATCAAGCAGCTTCGGCTTAGCGGCGAGAACACCGAGCTTCCGACAGGAAATCTACTCACGCCTGGCGGTGGACCGGCTATCAAGTTTGCCGTACAAGAACAGGTCCAAGTCCAAGAAGAACAGACAGAAGACGATGGCGACGCGTCTATCGACCTATTCTGGGATTCTTTCGAGGGCGACGCGGACAACTCAGGCACTTTCACATACGGCTTGGGCGACGAAGTTGGCGCGGAGGCAGCAGCTCTTCCCGAGCAAGACGCAGCAAAGGGCGAGACCAACACTCATGGCGATACCCTCGTCATCGACGGCGATACCATCATCGATGAAAGCGATCACAGCAACGACGACCTCTATGCCATGCCTTCGCCGAGTCCAAACAAGCAGCCGCCTCAGATCGTTGGCGATGTCCCCGGCATCGAAACCCCCGATGTCGACATCCCCGCCATTGAGCTGACTCCAGCTACGAAGCGGAAGATTGGCATCGAGGGTGATGAGGAAGCGTCGCCAAAGCCATCTCAGGTCCCGAGGACTACGGAGGACCTTGGCGGTGAGCAGACTCTGGCTTTAGAGAATATGACTCCAATTGCTGTTACTCGCAAGCCCGCTATCATTCTGACACCGGCTACGAGGCGGATGTTCACCGATGACGACGGTGAGGAGCCGCCGAGGTCGTCACAGATGCCACCTAGATCGTTTAGATCATCAAAGACGCCAAGGACGAAGCTTGACCTGGGTGATGAGCAGACTCCCACTCTGAACGAGATGATGACGGAGAACGTTGTTGATGCACCTAGTGTCCATCACGAGGCGACTGAAGCCAGCGGTCCATCCCAAGTCCCAGCCGAGAAGCATGATGCTCCACCAGAAGTCCATCCGGCGTCGACCGAGCCGGCAGGTCCAAGAAACAGCAATATCACAACATCCAACACCGACGCAACAATCGCAGCCAGCACCGCTCGTCTTGCGCCCCGGCTCCATTCCAGGCACCCAACGGCAGGAGCACGCGTAACGCCGGGAAGCCAGTCGGATCTCTCAATGAGAATGTATTGAGTAAGATGGCGGCGTCGCCGATGAAGGGTGAGAAAGAGACAGATGCGGAGACGACGAACGGAAGGGGCAAGTCTCCCGCCAAGTCGACAAAGTCCCCAGCAAAGAAGACGGTCAAGTCACCAGCCAAGGCACCGGTAAAGGCACCGGAGAGGTCGCGAGCGAGTAGGAGCCCGTCTAAGTCAAAGGCAGACAGGCGATAGATTCTGGCGAGGTCGATGGGAACCACGAGCACGGGAACGACGATGAGGACAAGGACGAGAACGAGAACAACAACGACACTCGCGCAACAAAGATCGACACCGCAAAGAGACGACTAGATCTCTCGACTGCATTCGCGAGGCTCGTGTATATGACACGAGGATACGAAGCGATGCTGTCTCAAGACAACTGGCGGGACAGTGCCAATAGGGTATCTCCCGGAAAGAAAGAGCAGGAGACTATACCAATCAGTGCGACACCGTTAATCTGGGTGTTGGCATTGATGGCGAGGTACAGGACGGATTTGGTGTGATGATGTGATGGAAGGGATGGAAGGGATGGAAACGATGATTCTGGTGGGTTTATTTGACGGGTTTACGATGGTGGTGGAGGAGGGATGAAGGGATTGGTGTCTGGTATGAGGGGGATTGGGGAGAACAAGATGGTCAGGGAACGATAAGAGAGAGATATTTGAGAGATGAGACGCTGCTACGACTAAAGACGTCGGGAGAGATATACAGTTGGAAGTTGTGAAAATGGGGAGCGTTGAATAATATTGTCAAAGAAAGACGGGCGCGACAAGGTTGGAAAGAGAAAAGTATTGCAATCTCCAAAGAGGAATGAAACAAAAAAACAGATGGGAAAAGGGAGCGCTGCGATCTCCAAAGAGAGCTGGTATAAGGAATATAGGAGAAAATGATCAATGGGGACGTGGGCGAATGTGGTCAAGCCGTGGAAAGATGGACAGAAAAAGGTGTCCACTCATCAGCTTTAGTAGCACATTGTCAGACGTATGAGTTGAGTAATGCAAGGGTACGCTTGCAGCAAACTGCGGTATCTTGTCTGCGCTTTTCTTTTCTTGGCTCCGATAGTATGTGAATGCATGTGCATCAAGTTATATCCATGATTTGATTCATGTAGACTTGATCATTCACCCCCAGTGACTTATCTCCCCGTATCTACCATCCCAGGACTACATGACTGCGAAGAACCACGACTTCAATATCCGAATGACCCACACTGTACACTAATCACTACCACCACTTCCTGCCTACCAGTGGTAGTCCACCTTGGGAATGGCCTCTGGCCGAGACGCACCCCTGGGCAAGTCTGAACGGCCACGGCCGCGACTACTTCCTTGGAAATGACTACCTGCCCGTCCACGAGACCTGGTTCCTCCGCCAGACTGACTATAACCTTCCATCTGACCACGTCCACGAGAGCCGAAATCCGAGTAACCATCATACTGCGGGATAGCCTTCGCCGCGGGCTGTTCCAGCTTTGGTGCAAGAGCAGTCGCAAGGGGTACAGGCACGCCACCGTCTCCAGTCGCTTCATGATCGCTCCAGCCCTCGGCATCGTCCTTGACCCTCTGCTCGGCATCCTCAAGAGCAGCCTGAAGTTTAGCGTTCATCTCGTTCTCTCGCAGATCGTCCAACTCTGCAGAACCGCGAAGGGTAGCCTCCTTCACGCAGATGGCTAGCATAGCCCACACAGTGTATACAGCATCGTTGCCTGCGTTATGAAGAAACCACGCAGGGACATCGAAGGCGTTCATGATCCGGCCTAAACTGGTAGGCTGCTGCTCCCGACGCCAGACTTTGTACATGGTCGCGGTGTCCATGGCCTCGAGGATGTTCTCTACCTTCATCGGGTCGTAGCCAAGCTGTTGGAGGTAGCGAACGTCGCCGAGAGTATCATGGCCGAGGAAGACAATGTTACGCTTCTCAGTAGGATCAAAGTGGCTGAGGAAGTCATCGCCGTTTTCGGCGGCAAAAGGGGCGTGGAAACAGGCCGCGACATGACTCGCAGCTTCTTTGAGTGATATAAAGGTTGAGTGGCCGAACTTGAAGCTGTCAGGATGTCCGGCAACAAACTCGGAGTTGACTAGGTGGCGATGTTCCTTGATGCGAAAGTGGCGAGCGCGAATCTTCTCTCTCCAGGCCGTGCCATCCACGCCAGGCGGAACACCAACCAGCTCGCGTGTATCCAAGGTGGCGACACCAACTTCGGTGATCTTGTGATGGGCCCTCTCGTACGACTCAACATCAACACAGACGAAGACGACAGACTGATCGAAGGGGAATGGAGCTGGCTGGGATGGATCGACTGCCGGAGACAAGGTGGACGATGATGGATCCTGAATGGAATCGCGGAGACCCAGATACCTTGACGCGCGTTTGAACTGGTCGGTCATTGACTTGTTCTTGCCCAAGCGCTCTTGCTGTTTCTTTGCTTTGTTCGCCTTGTTCTTCGCCTTCTGTGCTTCAGCCAGGTTCTCCATCAATTGCTTGAAGTCCTCCAGAGTGGGTTGTTCAAGCGGTGGGTGTGAAGATTCGCCTGCCGCGCGGAAGTGTTCGTTGGGGGCGTTCTCGGCCATGCTGTCGACGTCTTCGCGCGAGTGCGATCGCCCAAGGTATCGAGGCAAGCAGCGGGGATGATCCGGGAATTGCACGAGTAGGCCCTAGAAATTACAGTTAGTCTAAAAGTTCAGGCAGTACATATGTGCGGGCAATGTTACCTCCTCGCGCTGCTGGCCGCTGATTCTCAAAGAGAGATTGAAGTGCTTGTTGATCTCACCAAGCAAGGCTAGAACTTGACTCTCACGAACGAGTACGAAGGGTTTGGAGGTCTCTTCGATATCCCAGACGTAGTACCTGGTGAGGTTAGCAAGTGATTGGTGAGAATCGTCGCGATGCGGTGATAACCTTCAGAGTAATCATGTGAGGTGAACTTACAGGTCCCACTCTCGTTCCCAAAACTTTCCTTGATCGAAGAAGGCAGATGCAATGTCTTGCATATGACTCTTATCGCAGTACTTGTAGGGATACTTTGACAGTGCCTGAATTGGTGTGAAGTGATGGCGAGGTGAGGCTAGGTCGCCACGTTGCAGATCGGTAGCCGGAAGACCAGCGGCATCAGTTCGAGGAGCTGGGGCAGAGGCGGTGGATAGGCGCATCGAGTCCAGGTTTGGGTTGAAGGAGCTATCGGCGTCTTTGACCCAGACGTATCGGCGCTCGGTGTTCTCGACGGCAGGCGGTGCCTTTATGGACGTATCGATCTTACTGGTTGAGCCTTGTTTGCTAGCAGGCGCGTTCGGCGGTGCGTTCTCGAGCGATACACCGCCAATGGAGTCGTTGTAGCTGGCATGGTCAGGCTTGTGTTCTGGGTTGGGCTCAGGTTGTGGAGACACGGGGCGGTCAGGAAGAGCATCAAGGTCTGTTTGAACGAACCTCCGAAGACGCTGTAGCCGTGTCGAAGCCATGGTGGTTGTTTGACGAATGGAACTGGTGGAAATTGTTTGCGATAGAAAGCGCGAAGATATATGTGGGGATCGCGCTTGGACAGACGGATGAGGGAGGAGCAAACGACGGCGCGGTGAGCGAGAGCCTCACCCAGACTTCTGATAGACAGAAAACGAAAAAAAAATGAGTCAAGCGACATGAGAACTGGAAAGAGAGTCTGGCTTGATTTGAGGGTGGTCATTACAGAGGTGATGTGTCAACGGAAGGCGCATGGTGTAGACATGAGAAGACGTGTTCTTCGAATGACATGATCACGAGAAGTGCATTTCACACTACCCGCAGAATGTACATACCGACTCAGAGCAGTAAACGATTATGATGCATCTAGTTTACATGTGCCGGAAGTTGCTTATTTGACGGCACAAGGAGTCGTGATGTGCGGAGACTCAGGGGTAGGTGCACATGCAAAGCCTTCCCAGGCGTAAGGTCAGCGTGACACATTTTCTTGCCAGTGAGGTGTGACGCACGAGAGTGAAGGACGATACAGTTGCTAAGCACAGATGAGGTGTGCGGGGCGGGCGGGACTTGGGAGCCGGCAGCTGGGCAAACTCGCAAGCGCATGGGCGTTCCTGAGAGATCGACAAGAGCGCGCCCAAAGCGGCTAGCACGAACTCCCTCCGCGAACCTCAGTGCGACCAGCTCCCATCAGCCGCCCTATCTTGTCAGCGCATATCGCAACTCGCGCCCTCACGATCGCGCTGATTCTCCTCAATACTCTAGTTGACGCGTGGCTGGAGAGTCTGACGCGTGCGTCGCAACCCTCCATCTACTCTGCCTCCCCGCGATGCGCCATGTCTGAAGCCGACGATGCGCCAGAAATGGCCCAACCCGCCCCAAACCCGGACGCCCAGACGACGGTCAACGACTTCCTCGACTACACCGAATTCTTCCCGTCGGACCTGGTGCGCTCGCTGACGCTGATTGCCGACCTCGACTCGACCTACTCGGACGCTGTCCAGCAGGTCCACGAGCTGACGGTCCAGTATGGCAAGCTGCCCGCCCTCCCCGAGCAAGAGCGCCCCGATCCGGTATTACTACGCAAGAACATCGCCCAGCATCTTCAAAAGGCCATCAACCAGCGAGAGTTTGCATACACAGAAGCGTCGCGGCTGTATGAGGTCACTGTCCGCCACTGCCAGCGCTCGTCAGTCATCAAGCGGAAACTCCAAGCCCAGCCACAGCCGCCCTCACGCGACCCGACGCCCCCGCCAGTCTCTCCCAGCGCCCACCGACCCGTAAATCGCGACTACATACGCCCCGCCCATCTGCGCCTCACCTTCGATGGCGGCCGACATGGCGCCAACACCTCACGACCCCGAGACAGGCACAGGAAGACCGCCATTCCCCTGCCACGTGGACGTGGGCGTCGCGGTGCAACATACTCGTCAGACTCAGATGGTGGTTCAGGCATCGATGTGGCATCACCCAGGAAGCGCAAGGACAACCGGGACAGACATTCAAGGGCAACTGGGGGCAGGTCGCGCGCTGCTGGCGTACTCGGTACCAACGTGCACAGCTCCATCGCCGGCATATCCACCAGCAACGCCCTCGCACAATTGGCCCCACCACCAGCCGACGCGAAACCCGGTAGCAAATGGGCGCCCTGGAAGAAGTTGACCGAATACGAAATGGCCGTCCTGCGCAAGCAGATGAAGAAGAACGCTGTATGGACTCCTAGTCAGACCATGATGATACGCGAGCTGGAAAAGAAGCACCGCACAGAGGCCGACTACGAGAGGGAGAAGGCTCGCTGCGAGGCGACAGGCGAACATTTCCTCGACGAAGAGCCCGAGACGCTGCAACAGATTATGACAGCTTCTGGCCTGGGGCTTTTGGCACCGCATGGCCCGCAAGCAGCAAATCCACCCCCGCCCATCGAGTCTGTCGAGGAAGATTCCAGGGAAGAATCCGGTCCAGTCAGCATCCGCCTCAAGCCTGTCGCAGCAAAAGAAGGCAGGAAGCTCGACCGCATGTCACAGCGCCAAAAGGCTATGCACGACGCCCAGGAGCTTATCGGCGCTTCTGAGAAGGTCAAAGAAGCCGCTAAGGAGCTTACGGAGCTCAACTTCAGCTCTAGTGTTGCAACTGCGAATCAGAAGAAGAAAACCCCGCTCAGGTTATCGAACAAGCGGAAGCGCGATGCATCCCCTCCACCCACCACCGACGGCGCCATCGAGACCACCAGAGAGGCATCGGTAGCAACACAAGACAGCGCGTCCAGGCCGCCAGAACCCAAGCGCGCCCGTCTGCAGCTCATTGCCCCTGCACCAAGCTCGGTCGCCTCCCCGATACCGACTCCCAACTCGACCGTGTCCACCCCTCGCGATCGGACGGCCTCCGTTGTGCCCTCTCCACGAGTAAGCACACCGGTACCAGTCCCAGAGCCTGCAAAGCCATCGACGAATGGGAATACCGTGCAAGTGCCGCTTGCGCCAGCAGGTCCAAGCACACCGAAAGTCAACAAGGCCGTTTCGAAAGAGGCAAGTCCTGAGCTCACACCCATTACAACGTCGCCAGTACCGCCAGAGGAGTCACCTGCTGTGGCACAGGCTCAGCAATCACCAGTACCTGTTAAAGCCCCAACTCCTCCAGCTTCAGTCTCAGTCTCAGTCTCAGCACCAACAGCAGCTTCGACCAGGCCCAAACGCGAATCCGTTGCTCCGAAAGCTCCCACTCCGCCCGTGACCACTCTCCCGCCCACCAAGTCCTCAAAGACACCTACACCCGTGCCTGAGCCCCGCCCCGAGACACCTGCAGCACCAACCCTACGTCCTCGCTCCGCACGCGGCCATGTCCCTACACCCAAGGCGCAAAGCGAAGAGCCCAAGCCCAACGAAGAAGGTAGGATAACTCGCGAAACCCGTCGTCATAGTGTCTTTAGCCAACCCGCAACCACGCTCACAGTACCTGCACCCCCACCCCCACCCACCCGCACTAGTAGCCGCCGGAAGCCTCCCCCAAAGGGTGAAGTCACGAATGCAGAAGACGGCCAAAAGACAGTCACAAACGTCAAACGCGCTCAAGGCAGCAAGAACAAGCGGAAGAAAAAGGCAGAAGAAGAGGCGGAGCAGGCCGACGACATCGATCCCAACGAGCCCCGATACTGTATCTGCGACGACGTTAGTTACGGGCAAATGATATCGTGTGATAATAACGTAAGCCCCCCTTTATCCACATATCCCACAAAACTCCTCCCCCCTTTTCAGCATGGAAACTAACAACCATTCCCCCCACAGTGCGATAAGGAGTGGTTCCATCTCCCCTGCATGGACATGACCGAAGACGACATCCCTTCCCGCCGCGCCAAATGGTACTGTCCAGACTGTCGCGTTACACTGGGCACAGACGCTTATGGCAACCCGTTGGTGCCGCCTCCGCTGCCGGGTCGCCGCGGTAATCGGTAGGTTCTTACCCTTTTCTGTCCAAAGGCCCCGTCGTAAGATGTTAATGTTTGTTTGAGGGGATGGAGTACTTAGTATGGTTAATAGGTCGTCGGCTTGAGCGGAAAGGATAGGATAGGATATCGGTATCCGGAGGATGGGTCTGGGGTTTGGTGGGCGTTGGGGATGGGGATGGGGATGGAGTATGGGATGGTCTGGTATAGGATGGTATGGTATTCTTTGCCCCAGGGAGGGCGAAGGTGTATCAAACATAGGGTCATGGGTGTTCGCTGGTATTCCTTTGTTTTACTGGCATGGTGTCTGGAGTTGACAGCCGTATTTTGTCTACGGACAGCTGTCTCTTGGGTATGAATATACCCAGCTAGTTTATCGTATCACCATGGCACTTTGGAATCGAAAGGGACTTATGGGCCCGTTGTTTCTTGTTGATGAGGAGTGCGTGTGAAAGCGGGGGGTTGACGGGTTCCTGTGTGTTGTGTGTGCTCTGCGGCTTCCTAGAATGGAGATTGGGGATGTGAGGTTTGCTGGGTAAGGCGCACGGATCGTACGCTAGGGGTGATGACGTGTGTGTTGATGGGAAGGAACCCTCGACCCATCACGAACCTTTGAATATACTTCGACACAGCCTCCAGCTTTTGATGCACTCGGTGATACTGCAAGAACTGCGTGCGGCGACCAGATATCTGTTCCTCAAGTAATCACACAATATGACCAGCATCTTCGACTTCCTGTTCAGCCGACGTTCTCGTGGTTGGCATCCTTGGCGAGAATCCGGTGTTCACCAAGCTTCTTTCCAAAGTCGAACCCATTCACTTCAAGTCACTGTTTTCACCTTCACAATGGACTGCTACAATGCGTTTAACTGCAGTTCTCGCCGCCTGCAGAAGTATGGCCGTTGTTCGCCTGCCTCGTTCCGCCTTACATCTTCCTCTTACCCTGGCCAGCGCCGAATCTCTCTGACTCCCAACTAAATCTCACTTTGCGACCCTCAACTACAATATCACAGTCACTCGATCGACGTTGACCCGTTGACCCGTCGTCACCAGATCATGACGTCTGAAAGCGCACTGCTGCAACTCCCGGAGGACATCTTCCACGACATAATTGTCAACTATGTACACACTGTTCGTGTCCACGAAGCTTCGGCTACTCGTGCAGTTTGTAGTAAGATATACATCGGTACTATGATATTAATCCGGATGCGCTAACGTTGTGTAGAGGTATTTGACCAAAAGATCCGCTACCAGATCGCCAATCACTTGCATTTTGGCCACTTCGACTATGAATACGAACTTTTTCAGGAAGATTTCAGAGGTTGCGAAGCTGATAAGAGGGTTCTACATCACATGCTCCCCGAAATCCTACAAAGCACTGTTCGAAAAGCCTTTAACGACCCGCTTGTCACCTCTATCGAGGCACGCGCTGAAGCGGTCCTAAAGATCGAAGGCCATCCCTACGATGAGAAGACCAAAGCTCAATACGTCGAGTACATGTTGCAGTATTTGACCCGAGGAGGCAAGCTAGCAGCGATCGATCGGGCACTTCGCTCGCCCAGCGAGTATCCGCTTTTTAGTTCCACAGAACGGGCCGACCTAGTTAGCGCTGCCGCTGTAGGTAGCCTGTGTGCAGTGAAGGAACTCCTCGAGGAGAACGAATCAGACTGGCCGTCGTGGCCATATTTCCGACAACATGCGTCCAACGACAACGTCTACGCAGATCCTCTTCGAGCAGCAGCGTCTAATGGACACATAGAAGTCGTACAGCATCTACTCAAAGCACTTAAAGACTTCGGAGGTGCAGAAAAGTGGACCGATACTTTCAAGCACAGATTCCAGTGCATCTTTAACGCAGCTATTCAATCCAAACACCGCCAAACGATTCTTACGTTGGCAGTAGTCGCTAGGAAGAATGGAATCTGTGACTCCAGCTTGACTCACGTGGGTCTAGCCTGTGCTGAACTATGGATCAGGACTGCTATCAAGACCGGCTGCATGGACACTTTCAAGACTACTATGGCGGTAGTGGGGAGTACTGCCCCCATATCCGCAAAGACACTCGTGGCATATGCGATGCTCTTCGCGTGCGAGTACGGCCAAGTGGATATCCTTCGACACCTCATTGCCCATAACCCCACCTGCTTCCAGCGGGAGGGTCCCGTAGCAGGCTCGGACATAGCCCGACGGTACAAGACTAAAGTCGAACAGACCTTGGGCTTATCGTGCATGCAAACCGCCGCCCAGTACCTCCAACGACGCGTCATCGATGTACTCCTCGAACACGGCGTTTCCATCAACGCAGGCTCTCCCATTATACGCGCCATCGAGTTCGAAAACATTTCTACCGTTAAGTACATGCTCGACCACGGCGCGGAGTACAATCGGCATGTACACCGCGAGTGCCTTAAGCAGCTGGGTCCTAGTGCCAATAGAGCATTGAGCGAGTTCAAGGAGACGGATATGTTGCCTGTTATCTTCTATCTCGTGGCTAAGCGTATGGGAAAGCCGCGCTACTCGCTTCGTAAGAGCGGGGTGGAACAGCGCCTTATGAGCTTTGTTGAGGATATTGAGGGGAGTGAGTTTTGGAGGGGGAAGGTTGAGGCTGTACTTGGGAAGGAGATGTTCAATGAGCCGAGATGCATGGAATATCAAAGGTTCGTCATGAATGACTCGTGGGAGTGCTATCGGCGGAGAGTATAGATGGTGTTCGCGACATCCTGTTTAGCGTTTATGAGTACCTCGTCACATACGTGATGCAGCAGTATACACATGTGGCGCAAGTACAGTGACAGGCCGATGAGATGACTTGGTGGCGACGTCGAAGATCACAAATTCTAGACTGTGAAGCTGAAGGCAAGGTATGGCCTTCGATCAGCCTAGAATCCAACTCTTTTCCAACGATCTCCTGAACTTCCAAGCCGAAAAAGAGCCATTTCCCAAGAGATGAACAAGGTGCAGCTGGGGTTGAGAATGTCGCTACCCCACATTCCGATTCGTTCTTAGCGCCTGCCTCCAGGGCTAGCGCAAGCTTCATTGGTGCATCTATCGTCGTCATTCTCCGCGGGATTCGCCCTACGAACATCAAATGCCCAATTTCTGGTTGGGCCTACTAACACCTCACCTGGGCACTCATCAATATTGCTCAGCCACAACGCCCTGATGCTCAACCCGTACCTGCCGCGGCGCCGTTGTGCCGACACATCATGACCTGCGACGATTGGCAGTCGGGCCTCCCGTGCCTGGAGACTGGATGATGACCGGTGGGCGGAATTCGTCAGCTACACCCTGTTCCCACGTTTGCGCATTCGCGCAGTGGGTCTGACTGCTTGTGACAGCCGTCAGGCATCCTTCAAGATCTCCGCGATGTCTTCAATAACGTTGCCCTCTCCTTCTGCTCACACCCTGCCTTACTCTGTCAACTGCGAACACGAGCATTCCCCTCGGACGCCTCTAACAACTTTGCGCAATGTTCGCCATGGCATCATGTAGCCATGCGCAAGCCGGCCTACCAAGATTGAGCACAAGCAAGCGAATATGTAGAAGGGATTCGCTGTCTTCTTCCAGGACCCGTGATTCGGGCTACAATAGCGATCCTGATTCTCTCTCACCCTTGGATGCGGGAACGTTGGATCAGGGTATTGCCTACTACAATTTCTAGCAGGAGCTCAGATCGCTAACGGCGCAGCAGACATATTTTTCGGACCTCCTCCCTGTGTGCCGAGCATTCTTGTCAACAACAAGGCTACCTTTCTCAAGAGATGCACCGTCGATAGGCCATGGTTGGTTGGACAGAACAACATCACCAGCAACCCTGCAGAAGTCGTCACCAACCAGACATTCCTCGACACCACGCCTCCAGAAGCTCCAAAAATAGGATCTGTCAAGAGTCTTATTGATTGTGCACGTAAGGACAGCCCTAAAGACAGGCCAGCATCGGAAGACGAAGATATAGAGAGGTGGATCGACGACAATCTTCCATCCGCCAAGCGTCCCAGAGAAAGAGTAACATCCATCGTCTCCATCTCATCCACCAGCTCTTGCGACATGCATACCAACACGGACGTCAGCGAAGACGAATTGGAGCATGACGTTCGGCCGATACAACCATCTCCAGCCCCCATGCAGAAAATCATTAAGCTCATCCTGCGCAAGGTCGAAATCAACCTCCGCAATGCAGCTTACAAGCAATGTACTGGACGCAGCGCCGCGCACAGCCAAGCTAGATCCACGCTGCCTTCGGGCCAGAGTAGCCGCAAGACGTCTGTGAGCTCAGGTTCGAAGCGCAAGTCCCGTTTGGAGGGCAGCCCACCGCCAGAAGATGATGACGAAGATGGCTCAAGCAAGCGACGTCGTGAATCAACGACCACTACCGATGAGTCCGAGACCGGTGCGAGGTTTGCATGTCCTTTCTACAAACACGACCCGGATCGACATCGCAACAGGAGAACCTGTCCGGGGCCCGGCTGGCCCACGGTTCATCGAATGAAAGAGCATCTCTACCGGTCACATTCCCAACCAATATTCTGTCCAATCTGCTACGAGACCTTCAAGTCAGACAAGGAGCAATCGAGTCACGTGCGTCTGCAGCAATGCGAGAGATCATTACCCCAACAGATCGAAGGGATCGACCGCGAAACTGTGTGGACGCTGAGGAAGCGTACCACTGCCCTGAGACTAGAAGAAGACAAATGGAGAGATGTATATCAGGTTCTCTTCCCAGATGTATCTGCTGCAGAGATACCCAGTCCATGTACGTTATCGCACCCTGCTCGATCTTTGAACCTACTAACATACAGATCAGTCTACGATTGCGACTCGCCTAGCGAAACATCGCGACGCTTCCGCAGAGACCTTCTGCGCCGCGTACAAGAAGAACTACTCATGGAATCCGGACAAGTCCCCACTCCAGCCGAGCAACAGCTCCTACAACGCGTGGCGCAGATCGTGCGCCGTTGCGAGCACGATCTCCTGAATCAAGCGCAGCCGCCATCTACGCCATCCTTCAACCCAGACCGACGTGCAAGTGCCAGCTCTATAAATAGCTCGTACCAAGCCACGCCCCTACCCGCAGCCACTCCGGCCTTTCAGAGGCCATCCCTAGCTGTACCAACGAACCTGACTGGGCGGGAACACAGATATGATTCTCTTGTTGAAGCAGATGCAGCGCCGTATATACCAGAGCCTACAATGGAGTTTGGTGATGTGATCTGGAATGATCCGCCGTATATTTTTGGCACGGGGATTAATTGGGAGGCTGTCTTTCCGCCTGCGTCTGAGACGCAGTATTTGGGGAGTGATGAGGTGGCTACGAATTTTTCGGTGCCGATGTGGACATAGGTGGTATCATTGCATAGGGATAGAGACGGTGTTCATAGAGTGAACAGGATGGCTGCTTTGGGTTATATGGTGGATTCAAAGATTTCGTAGATACAGTTGCGAAATATACAATCGGCTCTCTATAATGGTATTGCTCGATAACTCATGACAATGCAGACGGGACTTTAGTAGGTACGTAGGAATGCACGTGTTAGTTTCGGCATGCCAAGTGATTGTGGTTGCGACGTCATGAACCAAAAAATCATAGCGCGGCCCGAGTCAGGTGTCGCCTCTTTCGACAGGGTCTATACAAACTCTCATCGCGCCACCATGGCACCCAGAATGCGCATACCCACTGTCGAATTCCGATCGCTCCTTCTACCGCCCGTAAGAATCCCGATACGCGCCCTCCATACACTGTACCGCCCGCAATGCGCCCCTCACGTACCGCGCCCCGCCTGTCCCACCCAGCGCCTCGAGCAGCGCCGCGCGCTCAACCTATACAAAACGGCCAAGGCCAAGACAGTCCTCGGACAGCACAAAGTTCTCAACTTTAGCTCGTGGGAGATTGAAATTTTAGCGCCACTGCAAAGTGTAAAACACCGAGTCAAACTATGGCAGACAGACAAGAAGGCTAAGAAGCTGTCCGTAATAGCGAAGAGCGCTTCCTTCGAAGAACTCCTCACACAACATGTCGGACCCGGGAAAATGCTCTACTGCCTCGGCGAGATCACGAAAGGAATGGCAAGCAGACACATCGACGACCCAGAGCTGCCGATACCCGAAGAGTTGCGAGACTTCGCCATCCACAACGCCTACACATACCGAGCCCCAAAGACGGCGGGGCAAAAAGGCAAACAAATAGGCGGCCTGAAAAACATCATCCTCAACGAGTCCAGCCCCGTCGAATACTTCAGAATGTGCTTGGACCGCGCCTACCAGTTCATTGAAGCCGGGCACGCAGTCGAATTCCGGCTGCGCCTGCAGGGAAAGATGCTCTTGAAAGAAGAGCGCATCAAGCCCGCAGGACCAGAGCGCTGGCTATGGATGCACACGCACTTCCCGCACCTCCGCCCCGAAATCATCATGAAGAGCATGCCAGAAGACACGCGCTACCTCATCAACCCTGTGTCCGACGGCCGCCTCGTCCAATGGGTCGCCGTCGCAGGCAACAAAGTGGAACCAGCGATAAACCTCGACAATCGACTCTTCCACATCAAGTCCTCAGTTACCTCATCCATTAAATCCGGTAACCAAGCCATGTTACCCAAGGTTATGCGTCAGCAGCTACGGAATTCTGGATTAGAAGACTATAGTATTAATACGGGGTTGCCGCGGAAGCAGGCTAGGGCTAAGCATGGGAAGGGGGGCAAGAGGGTGTTAAGTGGGGAAGAGAAGAAGTATCTCAAGAGGGATGAGGAGACGGATGGGTTCCTTGTGCCGGATCCGGATGCGGTGCTGCCGATTAGGAGGTTGGATGATCTGAGGGATCCGAGAGGTGGGACTCAGAGGTGGCAGCAAAGGGGACAGATTGGGAATAAGAATAGCCCTAAGTTCTAAGGGGCGGGAGATTTGGGGATGCGGAAGAGGGCGTGTGGGAGGCTGTGGGGTGCAGAAGGAACAGTGGTGTTTCAATGTTTGATAGCACGTGCTTTGAAAGTAGAAAAGCGCGACACCCGCCAAAGTGTACAATAGTACCACGTGAAGAGCTGTAATCTTGTGGACAGTATTCGCTTCTTTGTAACATATACCATCAAGTTACTGGAGAGGAAAAGGATTTGGAACTTTTTTGTTATGCAGCGCAGCGTCAGAGAAGATGTTGGACGTTTCACCTAACACCCGTATGACAAAGTTTTGGTGTCGGTGTTGTGTTGGTGACGGCTTGGCAGGCAACGTTGGGCAGTGACCACGTCTCTGGGCCGGACATGGATACGGCCGATCATGTTTATCCACCCAAGCCACTCCTTATTCCGCGACCGTCCGTCGCACATGCATGCGTGCTAGTGATCGACCTGCCGCACGAATAATGCCGCAGGGTGGGTGAGGGAGGTGGAGGCGAGGAGGCGGGGTGGAGGAGGAGGTTAAGAATGTCTTTACTACAGCTGGTAGTTTAATCGAAGTGTCAGAAGCTTTGATGCTACTTGCAAATAGCTGTTGTGTAGCTCCGCAGACCCCGAAGTGGAAACGCCCCTAGTCAGCTCCCTGGCCCGCGATCGTCCGTTGCACGCACATGCCTGCGTGCTAGTGAACAACTGTTGCTGCACGAATAATGCCGCGACCCTGAGTCCTCCCGCCGCCCATTGATTCCACTTCCAACTATCCTAATCCATCCCTCGCCCAAACCTCCCCCGCCGTTCGTCATCGCCGCCGCCGCCGCCGCTGCC